TATGTAATGTAAGTAAGTAAGTAAGTAATGTAAGTAATGTTGTAAAGCTGTTGTAGGGCTAAGGTAATGAAGCAATGCAGTCAGTGTACAACACAATGAATTATACTACAAATGTACTCTACAGGGGGTTATATTGTATTGTGTACAATGAATTTAGACAGCTTCCTAGACCTACAACATAAATAATGCTGCTTATGTACTTTGTTACATAATAATGTCAGAGTGTAACATTTACCATTCATTCCATGGTTGATAACACAAGTAACTACTCACCAGGTTATTGGCAGTAAATATCACTTCTTTATTAACTTCTCCATCAGCATTCTTACCAAACACAGCAGCAGTTATAATATCAGCTGAATGCTTGTGGAACTGTTCAAATGGTATGGAGGCCACCTTCCCTCTTACTTTACTAGCTGTGAAAGATAAGAGGGAGACATGCAGATTGATGACATACAAAAGGCATTTAATTAAAAAATAAAAATAAATTCCTTTTATTATGTTGATCAAGGCTATCTGGATAATGAATATCAAAACCTGGCACAAAAAGGATTTGAAAAGCTGGCACCCCAATCAACTCCCTACCTATGGGCCTTACATGTAGGTATCAGTCTATATAGTACAATAGCACAATACTAGGCTGACTCACCAACTTCTCTGCAAGCAAATCCAATGAAGTCTGGAACACTGAACAGCATAGCCTCACTCTCTGGGTTACCTCTCTCAACCTTAAGAGGAGGAGAGGAAGGAGGGGGGAAAGAAAGGAGAGAGAGGGAAGGAGAGAACAGAAGAAATAAAATTATAGTTCATGTGTGTCCTTACTCTGAATTCATTGTTCATTGATACAGCAATCTTAAGACGAGCATGATCTGATGTCTCTACCTATAGATAAAAACAAGAGGACAACTAAGGCCAGGAACAAAAATGATTACAATTAATACATGTATATCAAGTGCAACAACACTCGCAAAGCGACATTCGTGGGCGTAAATCAGTCCATATTAGGTAAATCAGTCCATATTAGGCCATGCCAATGAGATTTCTTGTTTCTCATTACCTGCCTGCGTTGCCACCTCTAATTTTTAATATTGTTAATATGCCATAGACTTACAGGGCGCATGCGCATGCTCTGTTTTTTCATTATTTTAGTGTGGCATTTTCTATACCAATTATATATTTCTATTCTATTGTCAATTTCTATTCTATACCAATTCACGGCATTTCAATTTCACGGTTTTTTTGCCTTGTTGAGACTTAAGAGATTCTGTTTGATGAGTGTCTGTCGACCAGTAGTGCTGTAGTGCTATAGCAAGAGTGTAAATTAGTAAGTCGAGCTAATGCTATATAATTTTACTGCTCAGTTCTCTTTTTCAGTACTCATCAAGTTTCAGTTTAGTTCTCAATGTTTATGAGATCCTTCGGGATATTCCTTAATTATAGCGTTTTCAAGTCAGTGATTTAATTTTATATCTGTACAAGTCATATAAATGCTTAATATTCCTAGCTCTCTCTCTCCGCCCTCTCTCCCCTCCTCTCAGTAATAGCTGTGCAAGAAGAGCTCACTCTTCTCAGTTGATTGGATACTAATATTGTGGTTAGTGTTGGGATTATATGCATGTTAAATTGTTATGATTCTCTCTCCCCAGACTCTCTCTTTTGCCGCTCTGTCTTAGTATATATTTTTGATATTCTTTTGCAAGAACTCATCATTTTCAGTTACCTTCGTTACTAATCATTGTGGTTAGTGATTTTAATTAGGTACAGTAATGATTCTCTCTTTCTTCCCTCATGCCGGCAGGCTCAGTCTCTCCACCTCTTCCACTCTCAAAGATTGCAAAAGCTTGTACTAGCTTTAATGATTTTTCAGTACATAACCAAGTTCAATTTACAAGATTCTAATTCAATTTTCTAGGTATCATTGCAGTTTTTCTTTTTACTCTTGCAATAGCCTTTTCTTTTAAATATTTGAAGCTTCATCTTTGGTTAGTTGTTTATGTTGGTTTGATTAATTTTCTATTTATGTGTTACTTCTATTTATAGTGTCATGTCCCACAATTTATTATTAGTAACGACAAGTGTCCTTGGTAATAACAGTAAATGTATTTTGCCATGGACACTGACACAGTTTAATGAATCATCATCTGTTTTGGAGTTTTTTACAAATGATGTTAAACCATGTTTAGAGACACCTGATGTTAGTTTAGTTTCAGCACATTTGGGGCACGATACGAGCTCTCTCATCTTTGTAGACATAAATTTGCCTCTTGTTGCCATAGTACCGTTGTATGGACGTTTTCTGCAGTATAGAGTTTCTGTTACGTGTACCTCTATACCAAGAAGTATTACTGACTAGAAGAGGAGCAGGAGGAGTCTCTCCCTTTTTTTTTTGTTTCACCAGTTGATCAAAGAAATACGAAAGACACACTATATAATAGCGTCTCGTATTTTACTTTATCTCCACTTGGTATACTGGCTTCTCTGGCAGAGTTAAATCTTGCAGACGTGTACAAGGATGTTGAAATTAAGGATCACAAG